ATGCTATGCTATGCTATGATATGCTGAGCTCTGCTATGCTAAAGCTCAGCGAAGCTAAGATGAAGGTAAGCTAAGCTAAGATAAACCTGAGCTAAGATGAAGCTAAGCTAAACTAAGATGGAATAAGCTAAGCTAAGATGAGATAAGCGACGCTAAGCTAACGGACGTAACTGGAGGAACCACGGGGCGGATACTGGGGGAACCGCCCCGGGCGCTTTCCACTGCCCGGCCCATTTAAGCCCAGAGAGTAAGAAACATTCTAGGCAGAGCCTAGGTAGGGAATATCATCCTCCTCCGCCGCCGCCTCCTCCTCCTCATCCTCGCTGCTGCTCCTCCGCCTCCTCCTCCTCCTCCTCCTCGCTGCTCCTCCTCCTCCTCCTCGCTCCTCTTCCTCCTCCTCCTCCTCCTCCTCCTCCTCCTCCTCGCTGCTGCTGCTGCTGCTGCTGCTGCTGCTGCTCCTCCTCCTCCTCCTCTCCTCCTCCTCGCTGTCTCCGCCTCCTCTCATCCCCCTCCGCCTCCTCCTCCTCCTCCTCTCCTCCTCTGCTGCTCCTCCTCCTCCTCCTCCTCCTCTCCTCCTCCTCTCTCCTCCTCCTCCTCCTCCCTCCTCCTCCTCCTCTCCAAATCCCCCTCCTCCTCCTCCTCCTCTCCTCCTTCTCATCCCTCCTCGCTGCTGCTGCTGCTGCTCCTCCTGCTCCTCCTCATCCTCCTGCTCATCCTTTTCCTCCTCCTCCCCCTCCTCTCCTCCGCTCCGCCTCCTCCTCTTCCTCTTCCCTCTCCCCTTCCCGCTACCCCTTCTCCTTCCCCTCCTCTCCCCTCCCCCTCCTTCCTTCTCCTCCTCCCTCCTCCTCCTCTCCTCCCTCCTCCTCCTCCTCCTCCTCCCCCTCTTCCTCCTCCTCCTCCCCCTCTTCCTCCTCCTCCTCATCCTGCTCCTCCTCCTGCTCCTCCTCCTCCTCCTCCTCCTCCTCCTCCTCTTCGCTTTAATCGGTAATCATGAGGCGGGCCTGTTGCGCCTGCGAGGCCGAGGAAACAAGGTGAGGTGGCCGACAGAGGCGTGAAGGCGAACCCATAACGCCTGGCTGGCGCATCTGAAAACAGAAGGGCGCGAGAGGCAACGAAAAAGACTGTGGGCCCGCAGTGACATAGAGCATGCGTCAGCCAGGCGGCGAAGTAGAGATAGAGAACCGAAGCGAATTCAATCATAGACAACCAGTAACCGAAGAACGAACCGAAAAATGGAGAGAACGAGATACACGTGCAACAGTGGCGGCTGGTGGGCGCTCCCCCCAACCATCCTTTTTCATCTGTCAAGGCTGGCAGTACATGTCAAAATCTGAACAAATAACAGGCAACGTGTTCAGTATATACCAGATCGGCTGGCAAGGCTGTGCTGGCTGGTCTGAGGCGGTGCACGTACTAATGTACACCAAAGCTGTCACACGTGTAAAATCAAGCGCGTGCGGCAATTCTTGAGCTGCTACCCCTGGTTATTCGGAGCACCCCGAACCTCCTCGGTCCCAGGACCCGCGTGCTTTTCGCAATCCTGTCACGTTTCGGGTTTAGCGCGAACTCTTTGTGACAAGTAGCGAGCAAATAATGTATTAGGCTTGCCATGTCAAATAAACGGCCTGCGGATTCTATTGGTGCTGATGCTAGTCTTCATCCCCGCTGGTGATCCCCTGGTCTCCGCTTTCCCCTTTGCTGCTCGGCGGCCACTTCCCCTGGTTTGCCCCGGTGGCCACGTGCCACAAAAGCATTCCACCGCGGCCAAGAATGGTGGCGCAGCGGACCGGGGAGCGAGGCTACGCTCAACCGCTGTTCGTCCCCGGCTCCGCTGCGCTCGACTGCGCACATCAATATCAACGTGCTCTGTCCAACGCGGCTTGCAGTGGAAGCGAAGCAACCGAGCACTCGCAATGAGTGCCTTCTGTTCCACCTTCATCCTCTGCCCTCCGAGCCTGTTTCTCCGAAAATGGTGAAGGAAAGTGCCCTGACCGATTGATTACTTAAGTATAGCTCTTGGCGCCATCATGAACTCTGGGCTGCGCCCTGACCAGGGGTCGTACAACGCACTGCAAACTGAACAGCTCTGACTTCTAGTATTTCGGGTGCGACGCAGGTCCAAATGGAGAAAAAAAGGAAATGAATGATGTGCGATGCGAGGTTCAATGATGCCGGCAGGGGCCAATGAAACGATGCCCATTGAACTCCGTGCGTGGCCACGTCCTCATCGAGGGTCGCGCCTAAAAATGCTGTCATCGAAGGTCGGCCCTTCTAAGGGCTGGAAATTGTTCACAACCACTTCTACCCCGCTCCTCCTCCTCATCTCTTCCATGCCTCCGCCTGTGCACCTGGGGCACCGCGACTGGAGGCAGAAAGAAGCGGCCTCCCGTACACGCAAATCAATTGACAGACGCCGTCTCCATGATCTGCCCTGGCCCCTTGCCTCAGGAACCCACCGCGGCCGGAAAAATGGAGGCGGAGCGGACCGAGGAGCGGGGCTACACTCAGCCACTGTTCGTGTCGGGCGCCGCCGCGCTCGAACATGCGCTGCAACATCTAGGTAATCGGTCCACAGCACGTTGCAAAGAAAACAATCGGGCACTCGCAGTGGACGCCGTCTCCTCCTCCGACACCTCAACATCGCATCGCCTCAATGTACTCCTCCATCCATGTCCTGGGCATCAATGCTGATGGCTGAAAGAAACAGCCTTTCATTAAGGAGGAACAAAAACAGTAAGACACTTGAACAGAAACTGTTTTGCGCCCTCCTCGCAAAGGACGCGTGTTCGCTCGTAAGGCGACGTAGATTTCGCAGCCTCGGGGGTAAGTAATTTTCAAATAATCGGCATCGAGGGCGGCGCGAGGAAGGTTGAAGTGCACCCTCTACTGGGCGCGGTACACTGTGAGTGGAAAACAATGCGTTCTCTGGAGAGCTCTCTGCGAAACATAACGCCGGCACTGAACAAATCACGACGTAAGAGGTCGAGGTAAAAGGAAGTGCAGGCACGCACGGGGATCAGAAAGCGGTCGATCGCACTTCTGCCCCTCGGCCATAGGAGAACTGAACTTCGGGGAGAGGTCAAGTCCATCCTCCTCCTCCTGCTCCTCCTCCTCCTCGACCCGAAAACATCGGCACAAGCTAGGCTGCGCGCAACACAACAGCAAGTGCAACACAAGCAATGGCCGACCCCAGATTACCACCCCGCCCATGGGTGCGGTGCGATGTCGGAAAAGCCTTTAAACATTTATGTTTACCGTTTTTTTTCTCTCCCGATTCATGCGCGTTCGTCTCGGGCGCCGCTGCGCTGGACGTGCGCCGCAACATCAAGGCGCTCTCTCCGACCCCGTCCCGCCCGAACCACGAAACAAAAACGTCTCTTACTATTGTGCGTGCTGTCTGGTTGGGCACCGGCATGCACGACGGAACGACGTGACAAAATAAAAGCCTGAAATGACCCGGGAAACACTCGCCGTCCCGCTTTCGCCATAATGGCTGGCACGGTGGACCCACGGAGGGCGAGGGGAAGGACGGGTAAGAACTTAGAAAAATAGAAAGCGGGCCAGGAGGGAGGGGTAGGTTAGGGTGGCCTTTCAGATCGTATCTGTGATGATGTTCATTGCGTTTGTGGTTGTGGTGGCAACTTCATCGCGAACAAAATCTTGATATAGACTGTCGAACTGTTGCTCGTCCGATGCGATCGTGGCAATGAGAGGTTCGACGTCCCCGTGAGCATTGGCATGATTCCAGATTTTGTCGAAAACCCACCAACTGTATTCTTCAGTGTGGTTCTCGAAACGCTCGGCGGACCGCATAAACAACGATAATAGAACTGACTTCTCACTGCCGACTTGTTCAATGTTACTGGGCTTCGCACATAACGTGTCTCTACTTGAGATAACGAACCAGCGGCCCTTCGAATGATCCCACTCCCGCAGAGTGCCTTCCGTCCCGTTGCACGCTGTATTGATTAAGCCAGCAAGTCGAATTGTTTGCCTTGTCTAAAAACTTTCGAACGGGGCGCCAGTATTGGATGGCGGTGGTCGGTCATCATAATCTTCAGAAATTGGCGTACAGTCTGTACTCCTCTTCCTTTCTTGCGTAAACATGTGCCTGCGCCCAAATGTGTTAGGGAAGTAGCTGCGCGTGCACCCTCAACAAATGTTTCTGAAAGAGGCATGATGACATCCGTCGCAACTGGAAATAATGTGTCGAAGCGGTTTGCAAAATGCTGCGCAATATATTCCCGAGGGTTTGGCATCCGAGCGTGCAATTCGTCAAACTTCCCTTCTGTCGGCTGACGGGGTGTATACTGTGGTGGAGGTGACTGAACGGTAGCGCTCGGAACAATGCCTCGAAATTTCAATATTTGAGTCTGTTGATGATCTCAATGCCAACTGAACAACATGTCTTTCAACAACATCGTTTGCCGCTGTGCTCGTAAGGTGTGTGTGTGTGTGTGTCATCTGGTCTCTTTCCCTTCGCCTTTTCGATCGGTGTTTCAACTCAACCTCAAGTGAAGCATTGTGCTGCCAAGGTGTGCCCTTCCCATCCTAATAGTGTTGCTGGAACTGTCCATTGCATTGATCTGAATAACCCATCAGAGTGACATACTGATGATAAAAATGCTGCTGAAGCTGTCCATTGCGTTGATCGAAACAACCAATTCATTGTTCGTCCGTCACAAGGTTGCCTGTGGGAGGAAGGCATCTCGGGGTCAGCAAAACGACTGGGCTCCATGGCGGCGCGGCTTGCCCTGGCTAGCAGGGCGCGGGTTGCCCTGGCTGGGAGGGCGGCGCGTTTCTCACAACCTCTCTCAATGGCTCGAAAGGTCATCCCCTCCTTGAGCCAAAATGGCTACGGACTTCTCCTTCCTCCTCCTCCTCCTCCTCCTCCCCCTCCTCCTCCTCCTTCTGTTCCTCCTTCCTTCTCCTCCTCCCTCCGCAGCATCCCCCGACGGAGCCCCAGGGACCTAGCCCACCGGCGGCGGCGCGGCCCCGTCCTCGACCGGTACGCCCCTCGGGTAGTCGTCCTTGATCGCCTGGCGGGCGGGTGGGCGGGAGGCGCAGGACGGGACGAGTGGGAGGGAGAGGAGGAAGAGCGTTAGGGAGAAACGATACACGGAGGAGGGGGAGGGGGGGGGGAGGAGGAGGAGGAGGAGGAGGAGGAGGAGGAGGAGGAGGAGGAGGAGGAGGAGGAGGAGGAGGAGGAGGAGGAGACGAGGACGAAGACGACGAGGGCGAGGGCGAGGACGGCGGGAGGAGGACGAGGACGAGGACGAGGAGGGGAGGAGGAGGAGGGAGGAGGAGGAGGAGGAGGAGGAGGAGGAGGGGAGGAGGAGGAGGAGGTGGAGGAGGAGGAGGAGGAGGAGAGCGAGGAGGATGAGAAGGAGCAGCGAGGATGAGGAGGAGGAGGAAGAGCTGGAGAGGAGGAGAAGGAGGAACACGCTACTAGCATAGCACTTGAAGTTTGCCTAACGTCAAAGAGTAAGAGGAGGAGAAGGAGGAGGAGAAGGAGGAGGACAAGGAGGAGGAGAAGGAGGACAAGAACACGAGAACACGATGAAAGCCACATGAGGAGGGAAATGGAAGAGGAGGAAGAAGCGAACTCGGCAAAGGGCGACCTAGTGTCGGGCTTCGGGGGAGCAGTTGTGACATTCCCGGTTCAGTGTTGGGCCTGTTGCGTTTCAGGGCTGCGCGGCATCGACGTGCAGAGCGCCAAAGCGAAGCGACACGAGGAGGGAGGAAGAGGAGGAGAGGGACGAGAAGGCTGCACAGGGAGGGAGGAGGGAGGGAGGGAGGGAGGGAAAGGGGGGGGGCCGCCGCAGCTCTCCCCTGATACTGCCCAGGGCGAGGGCAGCCCATCCAGCGGGTTCAGCTGCGCCGCCGCCTCCAGACGAAGGCCCTTCGAGGCCCGCGCGCCGCCCCGAGAGTGGCGAGGCCCCCGAGGCGCGGGGCGCCCGCGGCGGTCGTCGCCGCCACCGCCGCCGCCGTCGCCGTCGCCGCCGCCGCTGTCGTCATCTTTGGCCTCATTCCCCCTCTCCTTTTCCTCCGCCCCGCGGCCTCCTCATCCCCCTCCTCCATCCTTCCGCCCTGCCCCAGGCCCCCTGGCCCTGCGAATCAAGTTTTGAGGGGCACGGTCTCGTTCGACACCTGGAGATTGGCAGGAACAGATTGAGCAACATGGGGAAGGACGAATAATCAAGATGTCAGATGTGGCGCGACCGCACATACCTCGCCCATGGCCTTTGCCAATCTCCCTCCTCCTACTCCTCCTCCATCTCCTGACAGTTGCTTCAAACCTCAGGCAGACATGTGAAAGCCAGAGCCAGTTTCTGATAGTGCAGAAATGAGCACAATCCAGCGGGCACAATGCCGCTTTGGTAGGACCGAGCCAGCAAGTCTTGGGCCGAGGGGCCGCTGCGCAAGAAGACTGTTTCGACAGAGCTCAGCAGGCTCGAGGAAGCCGAAAGCTGCTTCGACAAAACTCAAACTGGTAAGGGTTGTTCCGACTGTTTCGTCATCATGAACATTTTCGCCAAAACGGTCCTGCCTCGAGGACACACTTACCCCTGGGTCGGCGCCGCCTCGTACGCACCGCTCCGCGCCGTGTCGTCGGTGACACCGAACTGTATGAGGAACTCTGGTACCTGGTGCCGCCAACCCGAACCCTGACACGTGCGCTGTCCTAAACGCTCCTCCTCCTCCTCCTTTACCCTCCTGCTCCTCATTGCTCCTCCTCCTCCTCCGTTTCCTGCTGGTCCTCAGCACGGACCCGACGCTTGGCACGAGGATGCCCAGCAGGAGTATCTAGATTCATCTAGATTCTCGGACAAACCGAAACGAACCAAACGAAGAAAAGCGGGGAACGGGTGCGAAAACTCAGGGCCGTTGCGCTGGACTTCGGCTACACTCGGCCAGAAACCGCGAGGATGGCCCACCTGGTCAGTGATCATCCTCTCCCTCCTTCGCGTGTCCATCCCCCCTCTTGTTCTCCTCTGCGCCCACCCCTGCCCTACTCCTTTCCCCCGCTACTGGGTGCGGCCAGAAGCAGTTGGAAACCGAACGCTGCGGGCCGCGAGGCACATCCAGACATCCTTGCCAGGCAGAGGGATGGCGGGGGAGGACGAGGCGGGGGAGGAGGAGGAAGAGGAGGAGGCGTGGAGGATAGGAAGGAAGAGGGGAGGAGGCGCACGAGGCGCGCTGCCCACCTCTGCTGGTCCTGGGATGGCCAGGCCGAGCGCCAGCGTGCGCTCATCCCTCTTCTACGGCAGGGACCCACCCCCTTCCTCCAGGCCCTCCTCCAGGTGCACCCACTTCTGCCCTTCGCCCACTTCACCTCCCCTGCTCCGCTGGCCCCACCCCTCTCCTGCCCCATCCCCCCCGCAGTGTCCCCCCCCCCTCTCCTCCATCCGAATTCCACTCCCTCTCGCATGCCCGTCCCAAGGCCGGGACTACCGCCGCAGGCGTGGGGGGAATGCCCCGTGCAGGGCGCCACTCCGGCATCGAGTTCTTCGTGGATTGCTGGCCAGGGCCCGCCCTCGTTTGCAAACCACAAGAACAGGCTGTAAGTTGGGGTTCCCCCAGGCGACGGGTGCCCCTCCTCGGCAAACCCTCCTCGCATCCAGGGGCTGTGCAAAGGCGGCACGCTCGCACTCCTCGCAGTTTGGTCAGCGATTGTCCTCCTCCCCCTCCTCCTCCTCCTCCTTCTTCTTCTTCTTATTCTTCCTCTTCCTGCTCCTCCTCCTCCTTTTTCTTATTCTTCCTCTTCTTCCTCCTCCTCCTCCTCGTCCTCGTCCACCTCCTCCTCCTCCTCCTCCTCCTCCTGCTCCTCCTCCTCCTCCTCCTCCTCCCCCTCCTCCTCCCCCTCCCCCTCCACCTCCTCCTCCTCCTCCATCTCCTCCTCCAACTCCTCCTCCATTCCGGTTCCTTATGCAGAACTTGTCCCTGTCGCACCGTGAGGCCAATTTTTAGGGGGGCAAGGCGTGACCGTGAAGGTTAACATGTACAACCATTTCACAAATGGAGGGCGGGTCGTTTGCTCTCGCCTTAGCGCCGAGCACATTCGTCTTCAATGTGGCAAGAATTTCACGGATTGAAGGCGGGTCGTTTTCAAAATGTGAATCTCGCCGTAGCGCGGGGCACATTCGGTTTAAAACATTGCAAGAGCTTCGCGGATTGAGGGCGGGCCGTTTTCAAAATGTGATTCCAACACTAGCGCCGCCCAATCGTTTTGAAACACTCACGAGTTTCACAGGTTGAGGGCGAGTCGTTTTCAAACTGTGGTTCTCGCTTTAGCGCCGCGCGCATTCGTTTTAGAACTTTGAAAATGATTCGCGGATTGAGGGCGGACCGTTTTCAAAATGTGGTTATCGCCTGAGCGCCGCGCACATTCGTTTTAACAATTGCAAGAGCTTCACGAATTGAGGGCGGGTCGTTTTCACAATGTGGCTCTCGCCTGAGCGCCGCGCACATTCGTTTGTCAAGTTTGCAAGAGTTTCACGGATTCCCACATGATCAACAAACCAGGAACTGTGCTTGGGAAGGGTTCAGGATTACGGGGGTGCAACAATTGCGATGATTCGCGGTGTTGAAGGTCCAACGATCATAATCTGGCACGATTCATAATCGTCAGAAAGCAACAGTCAGGTTGATCCGTGGCGCTGGAATCCCGAGAACAATGCGTTGGCATGCTTCAGGGTCTTCAAACGGATATCTTCCAACGAGGCAGTTCCCCCATTGGAAATGAACCGTTGTAGGGGCCTATGACGAGGGAACTTGGAGGGAGGGTTTATTCCAACATCGTTGATGACTCCTGGGTTTCCCCTGGTCCTCCTCATCCTCTTCTTCTTTTTCTGCTTCTGCTTCTGCTTCTGCTTCTGCTTCTTCTTCCTCAGAGTCCTCCTCCTCCTCCTCCTCCTCCGTCTCCCCCTCCTCCTCCCCCTCCTCCTCCTCCTCTTCCTCTTCCTCGTCGTCCTCGTCGTCCTCGTCGTCCTCGTCATTGTCATTGTCCTCGTCCTCGTCCTCGTCCTCGTCCTCGTCCTCCTTCTCCTCCTCCTACTACATCTCCTCCTGCTCCTCCTCCTCCTCCTCCTCCTCCTCCTCCTCCCCCCTTATGGATAACGTTTTCCTGTCGCACCCGGGGCCAGTTTTTAGGGCGGGCCGGGCGTTTCGCTGGAGACTTCCTCACCATCTATGACCCTGCAGCTCAAACATTGGCAAGCGTTTCACATATGGAGGGCGGGTCGTTGTCAAAATGTGGCTCTCGCCTGAGCGCCGCTCACATTCGTTTTCAACATTTGCAAGAGTTTCACGGATTGAGGGCGGGTCGTTTTCAAAATGTGGCTCTCGCTCTAGCGCCGCGCACATTCGTTTCAAAAACTTGCAACACTTGCACGGATTGAAGGCGGCTCGTTTTCAACATACGACTGTCGCTTTAGCGCCGCGCACATTCGTTTTCAACAGTTGGAAGAGTTTCACGGATTGAGTGCGGGTCGCTTTCAAAATGCGGCTGTCGCTTTAGCGCCGCGCATATTCATTTTAAACATTTGCAAAGAGTTTCACGGATTGAGGGCGGGCCATTTTAAAACTGTGGCTCTCGCTTCAGCGCCGCGCACATTCGTGTTTAAACTTGCCAGGGTTTCACGGATTGAGGGCGGTTCCTTTTCAAACTGTGGTTCTCGCCTTAGCGCCGCGTACAATCTTGTTAAACATTCCAAGAGGTTTCACGGAGTCCCATGATCGACGTACCAGACATGATGTTTTGGAAGGGCTTACGATGATGGGGGCGCATCAGTTACGATGATTCGCGGAGTTGCGGTCCCAGGAATGGCGCTCTGGCACGATTCAGGATCGTCAAGACGCAACAGTCAGGTAGGTCTCTCTGAGGAAATGAACCTTGTAGGGGCCTATGAAGAGGGAGCTTGGGGGGAGGGTTTATCCCATCATCGTTGGTGACTCTTGGGTTTACACTGGTCCTCCTCCTCCTCCTCCTCCTCCTCCTCCTCCTCCTCCTCCTCCCCTTCCTCTTCCTCCTCCTCTTCCCATTCCTCCGCCTCCTCCTCCGCCTGCTCCTCCTCACCCGTGCCTCATCAGCTTTGCTGCTTCTCCTTCCCTGCCCTTGGATCACATGGTTTTCCAGCCAAGCAAGCGCGACCTCGGGCGGGGGCGACGCACCGCGCGATACACGGGCAAGTCCGTGTAATACCTGCAGGGTGCCAGAATCTTAGGAGCAAGGGGTAGGATGAGCACGGGGAGGAGGGTAATTACGAGGAAAAAAACAACAAAGAAAAGGTGGAGGGGGGCAACTGTGCGCTCTTACTTTTCCGTGTCACTGCGTAGTACAGGCGAAACAATCGCCCCCTCCCGCCTTCCGCGATGAGGAGGACAGACAGACAGACAGACAGACAGACAGACAGACAGACAGACAGACAGACAGACAGACAGACAGACAGACAGACAGACAGACAGACAGACACACACCAGGTAGTGCGCGATGAGGATGGGCAGCCAATGATAGTGGAGCGAAAGAGCGAGAGAGAGAGAGATCGCTTGAATTATCACACTAGCTGCCTCTTTCAAGAATTGGTGCGTGAGTAAGCATTAGGTGCGTGACTCTTTTCGGGTACGGCCGGCATGACAATCATAGTGTAGTGGACGCACGCACTGCACCCCCACCATAGCCAGACGCCAGGACAGCGTGGTCGGACCACATATCCTAGGTGGGAACGTGGCCAGCGCTGAAGGGAGAACACCGTTCCGAGATTCTTTGCGCCAGCTGCAAGCACCGGAGCTGCACGTCACCGCTGTTGCAGCGACGGAGCTGCGACTGGAGTTCATGGGCAACGTGTCCAGCGTCAGGTTGGGTGAGACAGCACTGGACTCCTGCTGAACTGGACATGAGGACGGCGCTGAGGCTGGAATGGAAGACCGAACCGCAGATGCGGCGGGCGGTGGCGCTGGAGCACCATTCCGATCTTGAGAATGGGTCTGGTACTGAGTCCAGAGCGCCGCTCCGAGGTGGGACTTCGACGCAGGCATGCGGACGCCGCTGCAGCCAGATCAGGGTGGACACGTGGCTTGCGCTGCGGTCGGACCGCTGCTCTTCGATGGAAATGCAGGATCAGTCAACACCGAATCGTGAAATCGGATCCGATCGGTACTTGTGTTGGATCGGGCACTGGCACGGGGTCAGAATCGGATCGGATTGGATCGGCAGCGCCAGGACGCACAACAGCGTCATGCAAGCATCTGGCCGCATCGGATCGACGGAACATCGGCATCGACTCGGATCGGGCTGGGCGAAGCCGATATCGAATCGGATCGATCGGATCGAAATGGACCCTGAAGTGTGGCCAGATCCTAAGCGAGAACGCCGTTTCAAGATTCTGGACACACCAGACACCCACAGGTGCTGCATGTCTCTGTTCCTGCGACCAGGGTGCGACAACAGCCTGCTGGTAGCGGGGCCAGCATCAGCTTGGGTCCCGAGCTTCAACTTTGGTTTTACTCGACAATAAAACTCTGCGCATCCTGTGCGTGACGAGTGGGCCAGGCAAACGCGATCGCGATACGAGACCGAAATGCTTCTCAGGCGAACGGCCGCACGTCTTGTGCACACTGTTGCGCCAGTCATCTGCTGAGCTTGTCGTCCAGGCGCCGTCCAGCAGTCCAGGCCCTCATACTCCTTGGCGCAGGGGGTAGGGATGAGGAGCAGGAAGAAGAGGACGAGACGGACGATGGGGGCCCGGGATGCCTCCCCTCCTAAGGTGGCCCCCGAGTCCGCCAGAAGGCGCCCGAGACGTCCCCAAGTGGTCCCCAGAGGCTCCCAAGAGACCCTGAGGAGGCCCTTAGGAGCCCCCAGGAGCCGCCCCAAGAAGCCCAAAGGGATCTCCAAGAGCCCCCCCAGGATACGTGCAGAGACGGGGAGAGAACGAGAGAGATGAGGCAGTGGCGGCGGACCTCTGCTAGTACACGAAGCAGGCTGCTGGCGCAAAGGAAGAACTCGACACTCTGCTCAAGTGCCAAGAGTGCGCTTCGTAAGCGGTGCACTCGCACGCGGGAGGGGGATCGTGCAGCCTCGGCTAACCCAGCTCGGAAACATCCCTGGGGCCAAGAAGCGCCGCAACCTCGACAGAACTTCGGAGAGGGACGACGGAGGGGTGAGAAAGACCCGAGATGAGGCGGCGCGGCCGGGCTGCCTGTTGGTCACGAGCTGCAGAAATCTTTGGGCGCCCTTGGGCGACCAGGCTGGGGCTATCCTGCGGGCCCTCATTTCGAATCCAGCACCCAGCAGGAGCAGTCCAGTAAGACATGACAGCGAGCCCCCTCCCTCCTTGTTCTCATCCCCCTCCCCTTCCCACTCTCGGACCCCTTCTCTTCCTATTTCTCAGTTTCCTCCTCCTCCTCCTCCTTCTCCTCCACCTCATCCCTCCTTCAGGATAATTCTGCGCTCCTTGTCATCCGAGTGCGGGCATGGAGGAGACGGGGGCGCTTTACTCAACCTTCTTCCACCCACATCAGTAAATGCCTCAATCAAGGCATCAGGGAGCGGGGAGATCCACTTCGACGTCGTCGGTACCTCCATCGCCATCGTTACGGTCGTCATCGACGTCGCCAACGTCGTCATCGTCACATACTAGTGCCGCAATGGTCGTGCTCATGATTGTTTACAAAAGAGCATCGCAGGCCAAAAGGACAGTGAGACTCAGTCTCCTCTTCCGCCTCCTCCTCCTCCTCCTCCTCCTCCTCCTCCTCCTCCTCCTCCTCCTCCTCCTCCTCCCCCGTTGTTCCCCCTCTCCCTTTCCCTCCCGTCCATCTCCCGAAGGCGGTGGGCGCGAACATCACATTCTCTCCATGGTGACAAACTACCACATCACCCTCGCAACCACCGCCAAGAACGGCCACCGCAGGGCCGTCGCGTCCAGAACTGGACTCCAAGTATGTGTTTGTGTTTTTGTGTGTGCGTGTGTGCGCATGTGCGTGTGTGCGTGTGTGCGTGTACGTGTGCGTGTGGAGCTTGCCAGGAGAATGAGCATGTGGTGGCGGAGAATAGAGAGAGCGTGATCCACCGACGCTTTACTGTGGAAACTTCCCCCCCCCTCTTCCTCTGGAAGCCGGGGGTCTCCCCCCCCCTCCGAAAATCCCCCCCCCCCCTGCTGGACCCCCCCCCTTCTACCCGGCAAAACCCCTCCCCTCCCCTACCCCCACCCCCCTCCAGAAAACTGGGGGGGGTCACTACCGGTTCGAAACCCCCCTCGGAAAACTGGGGGGGTCACTACCGGTTCGAACCCTCCCCCACCCCAGAAAACCAAAGAAGAGTAATCACTACTGGTTCGACCCCCCCCCATCCCGAAAACCGGGGAGGGTCACTACCGGTTCGAACCCCGCCCCCCCTCCTCCTCGAAAGCCGGGGGGGGATCACATACCCGCCCCCCTCGAAAACCGGGGGGGGGGGTCACTAATAGTTCGACCCCCCCCCCCGTCCAGAACACCGGGGCGGGTCACTACCGGTTCGAACCCCCCCCCCACCCCCCTCGAAAACCGGGGGGGGGGGTCACTACTGGTTCGAACACCCCCCCTTCCCTCTCGAAAACAGGGGGGGGCACTACCAGTTCGAACCCCCCCCCTCGAAAACGAGAACGGGGGATTGTGGAGCCCCTCGGGGTTCCAGAGCGCGCGCGCAAGGCTTTCACACTGAGCTCGCGCGTGCGTCTTTCAGTGGTGAGCGTACTCTGTGGCGTCCTCCTCTCCTTCCTCCCCCCTCCCCCTCCCCCTCCTCCTCCTCCTCTCCTCCTCCTCCTCCTCCTCCTTTTTGTTTTTTCTCTCCCCCCTCCCCCCTCAACAAAAAAACGGACCAGGTTTGTTTCAGATGTTTTTTAATAGGGGGGGGGGGCGGTGGCGAAAAAAAAACGAATGCGACGTGGCCTCATCTGCCCTCCCCCCTGGAAGGATTCCTATTGAACGCCCCACAAGAAGGATTCATAGAGAAATCCTCTGTCGAAACCCTCCACTGCATGATTTTTGCTGAAATCCTCCACATATGGATTCCTATTGAAATCACCCGCAGAAGGATTGATATTGAGATGCTTCAGAAAAAAAAACGCTGGCATTGCATTGGCATTGGTTTGGCAGTGGTTTGGCATCGCATTGGTATTGGGCTTGGCAGTGCGTTGCTAATGTGTCTGCATTTCGCAAGCATTGCGCTGGCGAGTTCTAATGGAACCCTCCACAGAAGGACTCCGAGCGAAACCTTCTGCAGTAAGGACTTCGATTGAAACCCTCCACAAAAACGGTTCATATTGACACCCTCCACAGAAGGATTCCATGCGAAACCCTCCACATAGGGATTTTTATTGAAATCTACCACGAAGGATTTCCACCGTTGGCAATGCATTGGCATTGGGTTGGGATCGCTTTGGCATTGGTGTGGCATTGCGTTGGCACTGCGTTGGCATTGCGCTGGCGAGTTCCAACACCTCCCTTCGCATAATGATTTCTGTTGAACCCCCCACAAGAAAGATTCCGATTGAAGCATCCCACAAGAAAAGTTCACATTGAACTCCCTCACGGAAAGATTCCATTCGAAACCCTCCATAAAAGGATTCTTCTTGAAACCGACCACAAACGATTTCCCCCATTGGCATTGCATTGGCAATGAATTGGGATCGGTTTGGCATTGGCTTGGCATTGCGTTGGTATTGCGTTGGCATTGCGCTGGCGAGTTCTGAAGACTCCCCCAACAAAAGGAGTCCAATGAAAACCTTGCTTGATATTGAGATGCTTCGAAAGAGAACCCCCCCGTTGAAATTGCATTGGCATTGGTTTGGCACTGGTTTGGCATCGGATTGGCATTGCGCTTGGCAGTGCGTTGCTAGTGTGCTTGCAGTTCGTCAGCATTGCATTGGCGAGTCCTAATGGAACCCTCCACAAAAGGACTCCGATCGAAGCCTTTTACCAGACGGACTCCTATTGACACCCTCCACAGAAGGATCCCATGCGAAACCCTCCACTGAAGGATTCTTAATTGAATCTACCACAAAGGATTTCCCCCATTGGCAGTGCATTGGCATTGGGTTGGGATCGCTTTGGCATTGGTGTGGCATTGCGTTGGCACTGCGTTGGCATTGCGCTGGCGAGTTCCAACACCTCCCTTCGCATAATGATTTCTGTTGAACCCCCCACAAGAAAGATTCCGATTGAAGCATCCCACAAGAAAAATTCACATTGAACTCCCTCACGGAAGGATTCCATTCGAAGCCCTAGCAAGATTTTTCTTGAACCCGACCACAAACGATTTCTCCCATTGGCATTGCATTGGCATTGAATTGGGATCGCTGTGGCATTGGTTTGGCATTGCGTTGGTATTGCGTTGATATTGCACTGGCGAGCTCCAATGGCTCCCCCCACAGAAGGATTCCTATGAAGACCTTGCACAGGAAGGGATTCTTTTCAAAGCCCCCACATGAAGGATTCAAAGTGACCCCCCCCCACAGAAAGATTCCAATCGAAACCCTCCACGGGAGGACTCTTATCGAAATCCTCTGAAGAAGGATTCGTGACCAGATCATCCACATAACGTTTCCTAGTGAAATCTGTTGGAAGACAGGAATCCCGCCATCGGCATTGCATTGGCATTGGTTTGGCAAACGTTTGGCATCGCATTGGCATTGCGTTGGCATTGCGATGGCAGTGCGTTAGCGCATTGCGCTGGCGAATCCGACTCAAACACTTCACATAAGGATTCCTATTGCACACCCCCACAAAGAGGATGCCTATTGAGTCCCCCCCACAAGAAAGATCGATATTGAAATCCTCAACAAAAGGGCTCCATGCGAAGCCCTCCGTAGAAGGCTTCTTGAAATCCACCGAAGAAAGGTTCTTAGAAGGATTGCTCTCGAAATCTACCACAAACAAGTCCCCTCATCGGCATTGCATTGGCATTGGTTTGGCATTGCTTTGGCACTGCTTCGGCATTGCGCTGGCGAGTTCGAATGGCTCCCACCACGGAAGGATTCATTACCTTCCACAAGAAGGGATTCTTTTGAAAGCCCCCCACATAAAAGATTCATATTGAACCCCCCCACGGAAGGATTCCAATCGAAACCCTCCACAGGTAGGATTCCTTTTGGAATCTACCACAAAGGATACCCCCCATGGGCATTGCATTGGAATTCAATTGGGATCGCCTTGGCATTGGTTTGGCATTGCGATGACAAAGATTTGGCATTGCGTTGGCATTGCGCTGGCGAGTCCTAATGGCTCCCTCCGCAGACGGACTCCTACTGAAACCCTCCACAAGAAAGATTCCGATTGCATCCCCCGCATGAAGGATTCCTAATGAAAACCTTCACATGAGGATCCCTATCGAAACCCTACACATAAGCATTGCTATTGAAATCCTCCGAAGAAGGATTTGTAATGACATCATCCACCAAGTATTCTTATTGAAACCCACCGAGCGAACATATTCCCCCATTGGCATTTCATTGGCATTGGTGTTGATTGGGAATGGATCTGTATCGCAACGGCATGCACTGGCCTGGTGCAGGAGCTAGACAGAGAGAAAGAGAGAGGCAGAAAGAGAGAGAGAGAGAGAGACAGAACACGAGAGAACGATATAACGAGATAAGATTAATATGAGGGGATGACGGCGAAAAGAAAAAATACAAAAAACAATCAAAGTTTAAGGGTGAAAGAGCGTTTCACTAGATAGAAACCGTCTGAAAACGACGAGGGGCTCCACAATCCCCCGGCCTCTCGAAAAACGGGGGGGGGGAGGGGTCACTACCGGTTCGAACCCCTCCCCCCCCACGCTCACCGCCAACAAACAAGTCTGTGTCCCTACCACCGTCCGCACCACATCCCCCACTGCTGTCCCCAGCTTCGCTGTCCTCACCACCACTGTCCCCACTGTTCCCACCACCGTCACCACTGTCCTCACCAGTGCCCCCGCCACGGTCGCACTGTCCACACTGTCCCCACCACTGTTCCCACCACGGTTCCACTCATCCCCACTTTCTCCGCGGCCCCAACCACTGTCCCACTGTCACCACTGTCCCACTGTCCCCGCCGCTGTCCCACTGAGCTGTCCCACTGTTCCCACCACTTTCCCCACTGTCCCCACCACTGTCCCTACTGTACCTCTGTCCCATTATCCCACCGCCGTCCTCGCCACCGCCCTCACCACTGTCCCCACCACCACCGTCCCCACCACTGTCCTACTGTTTCCACATTCCCACTGTCCCCACACCACTGTCCG